AATTTGATAGTTTATTTTAAAAGTTATATGACTTGTACACTTATTTTTTTATAGTATTATATTTTTGGGATATATATCGCTAATGAAAGTGATCATTTGCCAAAATAGGATATATATCGATTATACTCATAATCGATCATTATCGTTTAAAGATTAACCGAATATATATCAATTATTATCATAATTGATGATAATCAGCAGGGGTATTATAATCAATATATATCTATGTGGTTAGTAATCGATATATATCTCTATATAAATTTTGCTGATGATAGTCTCTTCTCCTTTTGACTTAGATATTTCTAAAACTGGTTCTCTATACTTTTTGGAGTCTGATACCTGGGTTGCTGATGCCGAATTGAATAAATTTTCAATTTCAGATTTTAGTTTCTCTAACCAATATGTAGGTAAAGCTTTCTTAAACATATCAAACATGATCTTTTGAAGAGATTTATCAATAATAGTAGATTTATTTTATGACTTATCAGAATTGGAAATCTCTTTCTGGTCCCTCTTGCAAGGCTTGGATGAGTTGGAAACTCGAAGCTTTGCTTTCTCTTTTCTGATTTTGGGTTGCTTTAATTTCTTTTTAGATGGTGATTTTATAGAATTACTCTTATAGTTTACTTTTTTTTTGATTTAACAGCATTTATAATTTTCGAAATTTCAGCCTTAGTTAAGCTGTTCTCAGAATTAGAATCTGACCCAGAATCAGATTCAGATTCAGAGTCAGAATTAGAATCAGAATCATTATCAGAAGAGTTAGTATCTGAATCTGACTCAAAGCTTGAATCTACAGTAGTGAGATTAATTTTGACTTTCTTGTTGATTTATTTCTAGACTTGCTCTTTTTCTTATTTTTAAGACAATTGTAAGAATTATGTTGCAAATAGAGTATCTGTGTTGCAATTTCACGGCTTTTTTAACAGCTTTAGCTATGTGCAACTTCAACTGCTTCTTTGTGAGATTGGCCAATTCTTCATCAGAGTCAATTTCAACTTTCTTTATTACTGGTTTTGGAGGCAAATCAGGTTTAGGGATAGGAACAAATTCCTAAACCTCTCTAGTAATCTATTGTACAAATCTATTCATTAATATATCTTGCATTTTTTGATATGTGCTAGGAGGTTGTGGTTTGTAATAAGGTTGAGATGGCTGTATTTGCTAAGATAGCTGTATTTGTTGAGAAATGGGTTGTGAGGATATAGATGTTATTAATTTAGATAACGATTTATAACTAGACTAGAGTATTTTACTAACCAATCCTAATTTTTTCTCTGCTCTTCGCATTTCAATGTGCTCTAAAATTTCAAAAAGATCAGCTAATGGTTGCTCAGTACCAATGTGTTTTGCATCATCCTCCAAGTCTGAAGACAAACCTTGAAGAAATTGGCCTTTAATCTGTTGCTCATCGAGATTAAGCATTTTTCTATATTTTAAGAGTTTCAAGTAAAATTCTCTTATAGGTTCACTTCCTAGAGCTAATAATCCATATACTAAATTGTATTTCTCACATATTACTGTAGGGTATTCATTTCTGAGCCAATATAATACTTGACCAATTCGAATGTTGCCAAATACTATAGGATTACCATTACCTGCATTAATTGCATTAACAGGTCTATCTGATGGTCACCCTCAGCCAGGTGCCAATCTTCAGTAAAAGCTTCAGCTGGAATTATAGAAATACTTGCTGTTACTGTATTATTACTAGTGTCATTTGCATACTTATTGGCAATCGAAGAAATTCTAAAGCTATTACTAGTATTCATCTGTGCTATAGTGTATCCTCGAAGAGCACCCATACCAGCCTGGCCATGATTTGCAAAAATATTGTGAAGTTCCCATCACTTACCAAGAATTTTCAATCAAACCATTCTAATGCTCATCTATGTAGATACCCTCTAAGAATATCAAATGCTTGATATCGATTGGCAACTGGGTCTATACCAGTGCCAGCTAAATATAATGATAATTAACTAATAAAAATATCAATATCCTCATTATATTCATCTAAAAAATTTGGTAGTAGTAGTGGTTGTAATGCCATATTTGCTTGTATATTTATAGGTAAATTATTCTGTAGCATAAAAATTTGTTAATTTAAATTCAAAATTAATTGCTCAGAATTTCGTGCCTGAGTTTTCCACTTACCCTACTTGTTGTCCAGTTGAACATTGACAAGTAATAGATCATTTTCTAGAGTTTTGCATTTATTTTTCCACTTATTGTATCGATTTGTTGTAAGATTTAAGAGATGTGTAGTAATTGCTTTATCCATTTTACAATCTTGTAGTTGCTGCCTGTTTTGCTAGGCTTGAATCTAAAATTGTTTATTTAAAAGGTGTAATACAAATTTTTCTTGGAGTAGCTTTAATATACACTTATTTTTTTCTATATAAGTTGCTTTTAATAAGTGATAATTAAGTTTGTAAACTCTATAAGCTTGATAAAGAAGATCATAATCATTTTGAAGCATGGCTAACTGGGTCTGTGAATCAGCTATCTGGGTTTGTGAATCAGCTATCTGGGTTTGCAAATTTGTTAGCTAGATTTGCAAATCTGCTACTCAGTTTTTAGCATTAATTGCACGAGCATTTGCCTGTATATATATTTCTAGTACCAATTGTTCAAGCCTATTATCAGCATCAGAGAATATGTTAAGATAATTTACAATATTATTTAATGTAGATGTTATTGTAGTTGGGCTTTGAAAATACTGTCTAATATTATCAACCTCTCATTGAATTCTATGATTCTGAATCGTAGCTTGATTTTTGGATAAAGATAATTTGGGCGATTCTGGTTGTTAAGTTATATTGCAAAGCAATAATTCTTCGAATCTATTTATATTATTATTGCCATTTTTATATAAAATAAGTATTTTTATTTTTTCATTAAGCTTGTCTATTTCATCTTGAAAAATTACTAACCGCATTTCCAAATAGTCTATATAATTCTCTTGGCTTTCAGAATCTTAAAGTGTTTTTTCTAATCATTTTATAATATCAGAAATTTCCTGTTGTAATGGATCCAGTTCTCCATCTTGAATCAAAATTTCATTTTCGAGATATTTAATATAACTCTCTTTTAAGTCTAGATCCTATTGTAATTTACAGATTGATTTTTTATTATCTGCAAACTAGCTTCGAATTTTTTGATTGTTTCACTAGGTGGAGACACTATTGTATCTGATGGCATTGTACAAGCCTATATTATATCGACACTTCTGGAAACTTTACTAAATAATACTTTATTAATATAGTAAAATGTATCAAAAATGAACCAATCTAGTATCATAATTAGTACTGATGAGGAGTTGGCCCTAGTTTGTCAGTTATTATTCTATCAACCTACAGGTTATTATTCTAATACTCAATTATTACATAAAGATCTCAAGAAAGAAAGTTACTGTTTCTTATATAAAAAAGTTCGTGAATGGTTGCATAATCAGAATAAATGGCAAAAGTATGCTCCGTTACCGAAAAATATTTCACGAGTTAGTTATGATAAAATTTCATATCCAAATTGTGTACATATGTGCAACCTCCTATTTCTTACTCATGATAATTACAAAGGTAAAAAATAAATAGCAGTGCTTAATATAATAGATGTGGTTAGCAGATATAAAGCAAGTATTCCTCTTATATCGAATAAAAGTTTAGAGATTGCTAAATCATTCAAGAAAATTTATAATGATTTCAATAACCCTTTTTCATACCCAACACTTTTACAATGTGATGGTGGGACAGAATTCAAAAAATCAGTAAGTCAGCTAATGGAGGCACATTATGTTACAATTCGAGTAATTGGTGCATATTCATATTGGAGCCTTGCTTTTATTGAAAGATTTAATAAAACATTAGCAGAGATGCTTTACAAGATCCAATATGCTGTTGAAAGTATAAACTTGAATTCTAGATTAATAAGAGCATGGGTCAAGTATTTGTCAGAAGTAATAGATTATCTTAATAATTATCTGACTTGTCTCATTCAGGTTCCAGATTCTTCAAAGTGGGAATTGGCCCTAAAGGAGGCCATCAAATTAGAAAAGGTTGAATCTTGGCCATCCACAAAATATAAACATCTTGTTGGAAAAAATAAGAAGAATAAATTAAAGAAGGATGATACAGTTCGTTATCTGCTTGCTAATGCAGAATGGGAAGAAGGTATAGAGAATCAAAAAAGAGTGACAGATCCCACATTCAGTCCATGCCTTTATAAAATCCACAAAATCATAGTCTCAAAAAATGAACCTATCTTATATTATCTCAGAAACAATGATAATGGATATCCTTCAAGGCAAGGATTTGTAAGAGAGGAGCTCATGTACATAGATTTAGAAAAAGTTCATTATCCACCCCAGAGTATATTGGAAGAAAAAACTCATTCCAGATCTATTAATTTTGTTCGTATTATTAATAAAATGTCTAAAGCTATTACATATGCTAAGAAGCATGACAGAAAATGTCTTGGTAAAACTGGTCAAATAAACAGAATAAATGTATATCTCTGGTCATGTGCAAATGAAATCCATCAATAGGAAGCACATTATAAGACCCAGAAGCATAAATTTGAGTGGTGCCCACTTTGCCATCATACTAAAGAGCACAGTTGTCGATATATATTTGAAGATTTGCTAGATAAAAAATTTTCATCATATTCAGATAAATTTTTGAACAGCTTGTGTTTGGATAGTTATAACAAGAAATTAAAATTGGTTTTTGAATACTAAGAATTCCAGCATTATTCTGAGAATCCAATGTTCCATAGATAAGAGAGGATTAATTTGAATGAGCAAAAATGAAGAGATCAAAAAAAGTGAGATATATATAAAAGAGAGGACATATGTCTCATTAAAGTGGCTTATGATTCAGATTTATTTTCCTATATCAAAAGTGAATTGCAAAAAAAAGGTTATTTATCATATAAAGAATAAATATTATTTATCTTGGTTAGAATAAAAGATAAAGGCATGCCCATATATGTATACAATATTGATAAGATGTCTAACAATTCCTCAGAATGAATGAAAGATAATAAGTATTCTCCAGATGCCTCATTCAGATTACTGATATGTGGGGTTTTAATAGTAGAAAAACAAATATAGTTATTAATCTTATGCTAGATAAAAAGCTCCAATGCATGTTTAATAAGAAAAAAGATAATTGGTATATTAAGAATAATGATCTGGTATTGATAGAAAAACATTCTGAACCAAAATGGAAATTAGTAAAAAATATGTACCAGTCTTCACAAATGCCCTTAAACTATATCGAGAAGATGTTACATTTAAAAGGATATCTCCAGATAAAATTCCAGATATAACTAAATTCTTTCCAGAGTGAAGTATAGTTGTTGTATTTGAGGATTTATATGCTAAATCAAAAAAAGTATAAGAACGAATTATTTCTTACTTTATTAGTGGCTGGCATCAAAATATCTCACCCATATATGTAAGCCAAAAATATACCCAAACCCCAAAAATTATTCATGAAAATATTTCATATTTATGCTTATTTCAGGGGAGTAGTAGTCAAGATGATATTAGCAAAATCATATGCCAGTATACAGATGATCCAAAAAAAGTATTTAAAATTATTGATAAACATTTAAGAGATCAAAATTTTGTAGTTTTTGATTTTACTAAAGCAGTAGATAATCCTTTAAGTGTACGGCTTAGTTGAGATGCACCCCTGAAATTAGATGAATAGAACAAGCTTTGGCCATGCCAGCTCTGCTAATAATTGAATAATTATTTTTTTTGTTATTTGTTAATGAAGTTATATAATTCATCTTACCTACCACTTCTTATAATATTAAGAAGATGCATGTCTTTAGCCTATGTTGAAATTAGTGTAGATGTAAAAATAACAAACTTGATATATTATCTGTAATAGAGATTTTTGTGTCTTGTAAAATGTGCTTACATATAAAAAAAAAAGTTACCAGCTTTTCTTTAGAAAAGATAATGAAATAAAGTCTAAAGTACTAGCTCTTGAGAATACTTTAGATTGTTTTATTTTAAATAAATATATATATGAATAAGTTATATAATTAATAAATCAAATAAATAGATTAAATCAAATAAATAAATATATGAATTGCTTTGCAGACATGGTTTATACATTGTTAATTTGGCGTATTTTCTCTCAAATTCCCCATAAGAGTTTATAATGTTGAGCAAGTTCTGTTGCATATATACCTTCAGATCTATAGAAATACTCTAGCCATTTCCTCTATATAGTTATACATGCTTAGATCTTTTTTGCTGTTTTTCGAATATGTTTAACTTTATTAATAAAATTCTCTATTTGTAATTCATATTGATAAATAGCTAATCTTGTATAAATATTACTTTTAACTTCTAGTTTTTGTTTAAGCTCTATATACTCTTTGAAACATATATCACAATGTCTATTTTCAGTACAATTTGTATGCCAATGTTCTTCTATCTTATAATTGTAATATAATTTATATCCTACTCTTTTATCAACATAAACAAACTGATAACAGCTATAATATATAGCAATATTCACTTTAACAATCATATGATAACTGAATCTTTTTGTAGATTCTATCTTTCTGATAATAAGATATTGCTTATTGTAATTAGTCAATTTATTGTTATTTCTATAATTCACTAATTGATTCCAGATTTGGTTCTTCCAATTAAATGGTGTTTCTCTATCATGAATTACTGGAAATTAGCAGTTATCCTTTCACTTGATATCATTTAAAACTGGACAATTATCTGTATAGACCATATTTAATAATTAAGTAATTTAATATATTATAGTGTTTTTAGAGATTATATGATTTATATTATATTTAGAGATTTAGACCTATTTGATTTAATAACTATATACTAATGAATATCACAATTCATTTTTGTGTCATCAGGAAATACACATGTTGGACTCTTTGTGATATATATAAAAATGGCTGAAATCATTATCATTCAAGTTTACTCTGCAGATATGCAATCAGGCCTGTGCACTTAATCGAGTTCATTACTACATTAAGAAAAATATTAATTATATGCTAAATTATAATTTAATATTTATTGTTTCTTGTATTTTGCTAACAAGCCTTGCTTTGTAGGTTCTAGATCTTTAAGCAGTTTGAAACAAATATAGTATTATAAATACTAGATATCTCTAGATCTAAACTTGAAAATTTAACACTCACCAAGATTAGCTCATCTCAAGTTTTTTAATTTTGGTAGAGATTTAGAACCAGACTTGAAAGAATATCTATTTTTTTGCAATAACCTTACCTTATTTTTATTATTATTTATGTTTATATTAATTTCATTATCTGAATCTGAATCACAAAATAGGAAGCCAAATTTTCTATTTTGTTTAATTATAGTGCTATGTATAAAAAATACGACACTATAACATATGCTTGTGAGAACTGAAAGATTCCTATAAACTAAAATGTTCAATCTAAAAGCAATAGCTTGTCTCTGTTTTGCATGTATTATTAGTTTTAACTCAGAAAATACTAATTGTTCACCTTCAAAAGTTTCAAGTAGGCACACAACACAGAGTGAATTGCAGTGGTTTTTTAGATCTTAATAGAACTGACAAATAGCATTAAAATTAATTGCTATAGTGGGAAAGCCTCCAAACGATTTAGGGACATTTGGTTCAAGATCAAGTTTTTTCATTTTTGTATACAAGGCTGGATATGTTTCCTTAATATAACTATTAACAGCATCAGATAATGGTTGAAGGCCTTGTATTAATTCTTGAACACATTTTAAATGATTCTGGTGTGAGATAAGGCAGTATTTGATGTTGTATAAGATTCATTGTTATTGTCTGTGAAAGCACCAAAATGCTCGACTAATTCTTTCAAAAATTCTTTGGACTGGTGAGATAGATTATCAAGCATGTGAATATAGTATTGTTCTACTGCTATCTTTGCACTTTTGGTGATTCTGGAACTCTAAAAAGCATATAAATCCACCATTGTTTCTCCAAGAGCATTTTTAAAAATATTGTGGGTTGAATATATAGTGATACCCTTTTATATTGACATCTTCCTTGGACATCTTATCAGTTAATACACTAGCAATAATTTGCTTGTCTTTTAAATTTCAACAAAGTGCCTCAGATATTGTTGTTTGCTTTAGCAAAACTTTTCCTGCTTTTATATGTTGCTGATATGCATGCTTTATCTTAGACCAAAGGCACTGACAATAGTTATGAATCTGCTTTACAATGAAAGGACTGATTGCAAAGAATGCCCACAAAGTGAATTGCTTCTATGCTAAATCAGAATTTTTATTTGTGGGTTTGGTGTGATCAAAAATCTTTAATTCTAGTAAATCAATAAACTCAGCAGATATTTGAAATGTAGTTAAAATGGGATAAATAATTTGTGTGATTTGGGGTGGTAGTGATCTTTCTGAATTGTATAATTCGCTCCAAATATTTTCTAGGTCAAATTTGGAAAGAGTGTCATATTTAAGAGAAAAGGTGTTTTGCTTTACAACATCCAATGAAAACAATTCTTGGTCCAGTAGCATCTTTATAACTTCTTGTTGGCATCTTCTTTCTGCAAATTTTTCGAAAAAGGTAATCTTTAGATCTATTAAAAAAATAGATTACAAATCATTCTTTGACTTAAGATTGCTCATCATGAAATCTTCGGATTTCCAGTAAGATAGAATATATTCATGTGATTTGCTCTTAAATAGATGGGTCTCACTTTGAGTCTTGTGCTAGAAAATATATATTCAAAAAACTGGTAAATTGATATACAAAAAATATTTTATGTTGAATAGTAATAAAATCTTCTTAATGGATACATTCAAATCAATCTCAGTAGTGTGGTTTGGAGGGTTTAAAACCATAAAGTCTGCATCACCTTCTTCCTCATATATGCCCACTTCAAGGATGATGATCCTGCCCGAGATGAAAAAATAACTTTATATAGGAAGGGAATACTTGGATTCTAGGCCTGGCTCGAAAGACAAAAAGTACCTCTAAGAAGACTATACTATAAAACTAAATGTAATAAAAGATATTTAATCTACTTTTAAAGGATTGTAAAATATGTTTATGCTTTCTTTGATATGATTAGCATTAGAATTAGAAATACCCTCTCTAATGATTGAGCTATCAGATTTTTCAATTTTAGCTTTTTTTATGATATGTAGTTCTTTTGTACACAAATTTCTCTTGGAGGTCTTCAACATAGTAGGTGTATTTTGTAGCAACATAATGTTAACACAAATATATGATTTATAAAAATAAAAATAAAAATTTTTAAGGTGTTCTCTTGAAAACTAACAAATTCAGAACAGAACTTTGTATTGAAGATAACCCTTCTATTATAAATCATGACTTATTCTTATTTAGTACATAACAATCTGATATGAAATAATATACAATATAAATGACTCAGTATTGCAATAATCCAACATGAGTCAACTAACAATTTTTATTTGGCATCATAATAATTACTAATAAACAAATAATTGCGTGTTTACTAAATTCGGCACCACAATTATTAAACATAATAAATCAATCAACAATTGCACATTTTCTATATTTGGAATTAGATTGTTAGCAGATATTTTGGTTATACAGGGTATAGTAATAATTTTACACACTATCCTCCAAGCCTGATTTACAAATTTAGAATAAGCACTATGTACTTCTTTATTTATGCTATTATAACAAAACATATTAATCAAACATCTAGCATCACATTTTTTTACCATTAATAGCTATCAATAATAATCTTACAACCATTGATGATAATGATCCATGCTAAAAAAAATAAGTATGTATTATTTAACAGTCCCGCAGGACCACTTTTATTTTGACCTAGATCAAAGCTAAAATAGTAATAAAAACTTGACCGGCTTTAATAATCAATGGCCTGCATTAAACTTTATGCAGTGTTACCTTAATTTCTCATGATCAATTTTTGATTTATAACAAATATTACGAATAACTAAACCCTTTCTTATTATATGTGATCCCATGATAAGAACAAATCACAAATGAGAATTAAATAAGTCATAAGAGGAAAGAGTATAACATTATTTATCAGTAGTTTTATTCAAATTCATATGTTGCAAGGTTTTAGAATTCCAGATCATCAAGATCATTGACTTTTTTACTTTGCAGGAGAGATCATCGAATCTAAGAAGAGTTAATTTTACCAGAAAAAAATAACAAAATAGATTCAGCATTTGGAAGTTATGACCAAATAGACTTGCTTTACATGGTGTGATCTAGATCTAGATTGAGTTACCTTAACCCAATTACTAATCATATAACTTTTTTTCTGGCAAGTCTTTTAGATCTTGCGAATGCTAAGTATAAAAATAAGCAAGTTCCCCCTCCTACAAGATAAGTTAGCAATAACATTATTTTTTGTTAATATATGTTTTTACCTGAGCATAATTTTTTTAAAAAAATAATGTATTTGCCATTTAATACAGTCTGAAACGAATTTTTACTTACTATGATTTTTGTATTTAGGAACGAAAATGAGTAGTAATAAAAAAACTACCCCCAAGATCAACAATAGTAACGTCTCCAAGATCAATGATTGTAACGCCCCCAAAGCTGATGATAATAACGCCCCAAGACCAATGATAATAACACCTCCAAGACTAACAACTCCAATCCAGAAAGCGATCAAAAAAAGCTATCTGGTATAGGTATAATTATCGATTTTCCTTTGCTATGGGATTACTCCCGATAACTTTTGCAAAAGTAGAAAGAATTTATAGCTTTCATGGCTATTGATTTTTATTCGTATTTGTATTATTTAACTACGATGTTTTTGTATGTTGTCATTCCGGTAACTTTTTTTATGAAATAAAGAGGGGGTGCCATGCCCTCGCCAGTTTTTATTTTTACGCGATTTTTATGAAATATTGAGAGTCATGACATGTGCTATTATTCTACTGACTCTACCTTCCCGCCAATTCTTATGCCGTTTATTGTCAGGGTAAATTTATGATCTAAGAAAAAAGTTAACTTTAATAATTTGGACATGAGACTTGCGAATGGACAGGGTTATGCATATTCAATATATACTGAAAAACAGGTTTTTAAATCTTTTTATGTGGAGTAGTAGGTACGCCCATCCTAGCTTCGAAGTTTCGCTTGTGTTCTAAGAAATCGTCATTTATCTAATATTTTTTTTCGGCATTTCGAATTTTTGTTGCAAGAGAAGAATAAGAGAATCTATATCTAATTCATTTCTGATAGTATTGAAAGACTCTGCAATTAAACTTTGATTGACATTCTCATTAGATGTATGATTTTGGCGAAGGCCCGTCGTCAAAATACAAAAATATTGAAGCATAAAATATTTTGGATCATGAGAAACAAAAATTATTTTAATAAAGAATTACGTATTTTAGCTCTAAGAATAGATTGATCTTTATTTATTTATATAATAAGGTATTTCATATTTTTTCTAAAAGGTGGATAATACTTGACATGTCTTATATATTAAAACGTACGAAAAAATTCTCTAGCATATATTTATCTCTTCGTGACTTTCGAAGGTGATGGCTTTGTTTGAATAATTTCATTAAATTTCCTTTTCAAAATCTGTACAGAATCAGCATCATGTTCTGTTGTCACGTTATTTTTTGTTTCTACTTTAATGATCATCTATAACAGAATTAATTTAGAATAGGTCAAGATATTCATAAAATTATAAAATGTAACTTACCATAAATTCCAATAACCTTAGTATACCTGATTTCATCTCTGAAATCATATTTGGATTAGAAGCAATGTTTAAACTTCCATATTCTTCATATACATATACTCCATCTTTCCACATTATAAGCATTTTGATTTCGAAGAGATAACCCAATATTCCGAAAACAGACCGATTATTGTAATTCATGTCACCCTTTCCCATGGCCCGTAAAATTCTAACATTTAAACAATCTCTCATTTCTCTATACAATTTAAAAGAATCGGTTGCTAGTTTTGTTAAATCACATTGAGTGGGGGGTCCGGCTTGTTCTCCGACAAAAATTTCTTCACCCGTTTTCCACATCCACGCCAACAAGTCCGCAGATTTTCCATCAACTACTCTGTCTAAGATATGATTATATCCATAATTTTTTCGATACTTCGAGGCCTGTACGGGAACTTCCATGCTAAAATAAAAGTAAATTTAACATAACATAATTTTGAAAACAATATTATGATAGCTTAATTAAACTTAATGCCTACGCCCTCCAATCAAGACCTACAAATTCTTGTAATGCCCTTGAGAAAAAACGATGTCCAAATTCTGACCAATAATGATGCTCACTGCTGTTTGGAGCACTAATATCTGGGACCGGTTTTGAGAATGATTCGATCCTATAAATATAAGATGTTAGGAATAATAGGCAATTAATAGCGAGAAACCTCGAAAAGCATTTACAATGGAAGCATAACTCGATTTAAACATTTTTTTATTTTTATTAGCTCTTTATCCTCCTCTTTTACAACTCCCAACTCTTCTGTAATACGGATCCAGTCTGATATATTTTTTATCGACCCATTTTCGGTCGTTTCCTACATAATAATAGAATCAATAATTACTGCAAATTACGAATACAAACAATAATATAAGTACCTTAAAATACTCTTCAATAATATCACGCCAACCTTCTGGCAATTCAACATTCCTCTTTGGTTTTTTTGATAATAATTTTATGTAATCATCAACTGACAAAAATTTAGAAAACCCGCCTTCCCCTCGAATATCCATTACATCATCAATCGTGTAACTATATATTGAGCATCATTAGTTATAGGTTATAAATATGTCCTAAGCAATCCAAATACTTACGAAAATGGATTATTTTGCTGGGATTCTTTATATTTTATAAAATGCGGAATAAATTCTCCAAAGTACTGTTTAATGCAATCTACTGATTATTTATTATATACCTCAAAAAATTAGCATTAAACAAATACCTTGGATTCATCCAGCTTGGCTAAACTCATAGCAGACATTCTTAGTATATTTTCGTCAATTGAAATTTCCGGGTTGTATGTGTTACTGACAATTTGATGAGGGGGGGTTTGAAATCCATCTTTACAACAAATAATAATTCCAAGAGCAGTTTAAATAATAATACCTAAAAGTAAGACAAAAAATGGTGCGTCTTACCGTTTTGCGTATCATTTTTGTTTATCGATTCATAATAATCAGTCCCTGGTGATGGTTCTTCCTGAATGGGTGTTATATTAGGCTCACTAGCGTAATCATTGCTAGTGATTTCGAGATCTTCACGAGTTCGGCCCTCTAACCTATGACTTATATATTCCTGTTCAGATTTATATCGCTCCGTTTCCTCTTGTATAGCAACGCTTCGAATTTCTCGCTAACATGACAGATTAAAATGAAATTATAACTGCTGATATAATATCATAAGTATAACAAGTTAAAGACAAATATACCTTATTTATTCGATCCATGACGGCTAGCGTTGATATCTTTCCGTGATTTCCCCATAATAAAGTATTTACAGGATCATTGTTACTATTCTAGAATAAACAGTAAAAGATAGTATTAGAAAACATCATCACAAATAATTTAATTGATTACCCACACATGTTATAATGGAGCAAAAATGCCTAGATTATAACATGCATCCCCATTTCGGGCAACAACACGAGTTGCCTTGTGCGATGAATCGCTCAGAACACGACTGCAGGGTATGGGCAAATGGCAAATGATAATGGTGCTACCGACGCATACTATGGTGGGACCTAAAGAGTCTAGACCATAGTATACTTCTCACTTCAGGCAACAACACGAGTTGCCTTGTGCGAACGAATCGCTCAGAACACGACTGCGGAGCATGGTATATGCACCTATAATAAAAAGAAAGGTTGACCTCTAAAGCATTTTTCAAGGTGGTCGCCTTGGCAAAAAGATTACTCCTTCTTGGTATATTTTTAAGGAGGATACCAAGCTCAAGACTTAAGGATCGATGCGCTTCCTCTTTTGTGCATCCAGGATTAGTTTCGATAAAGTATATGTCCCAATCGATCAAACTTCTCCCCGAGTTTGGGTCGCGAATCCAATATGCTAGAAGTGAAAGGTGAAAATATTAAAGGTGCTGTGATTATTGAAAGTTTGAGCAGAGGCTGTACCTGTATGACAAAGGTTTAAACTTTCAACTAAAGTGGGAGAATTCGCAGGCTTGGACATTGGATAATTTTTGTCGCGTGTTGAATAAAAAACGTGAAACGTTTTATATGTACAATCAGATCCCGATTTTATCACACCATCGGTTATACAAACCTGTAATAAGTGTTTGTGACCCGTTTACAAACTATATTTCGCCTATTTATTTCACGAGTTTTATCCCCGCCAATTCATTTCTCTTATTGCCAATTTAATATATATCGATATTACAGAAAAAAAGTTAACTTTATTCTGGAGTAGCAATTACGATTTACATGAACTTGTGCGTGGGCAGGGCGTTTATAAAATGCAATAAAATCTAAATTCGTTACATAATTTTTTTACGAAAAAAATTGTAATATAGATTGTGACCTCGAGGACACAGTATCATGTGATAATGGCGCAGTAATAGCCGATCATTTTGATTTATTTATAATGCTAAGCATTACATGAGTGATATTTTTCTTAACTTAGAAATTGTTAACGCTGTAAAAGATCTGACTCGTACTATTTTATCCTCACCAATGGCGTCAAAAAGGTTGTAAATTTTTCGTGCTCGTTCTGTTTTCTTTCTAAGTGCATCATCACTAACCTCTTTGGAAATTTGATTTCTAACTTCGTCATTTACTAGAATTTTGGCAGATAATGCAAATAATTTTTTGTTACTTCAACAGATCAACCGCCTATACTGGATATATTGTAAAAGTCAAAACGAACTACAGTAAATAAATTAATTCTTAGCAAACGAATATATTTAAAAATCAAATCATAGATAAAAGTTTTATTAATTTTGTAGATATATATGAAAATGGCCCGGGCCAGCTAAGTAGAAAATGAATATTGGAGTAGCGGTGTTTCAAGGGAGGAATTTGCTGGCCCCTAGACCATAATGTAGCAGTTCCTTTCCGCTACTCATTATTAGCTAAGTTAAAATTATTTTTGCTATCGATCCAAGCACCTATTTTATTTAAAGTACTACCTCTAAAATCACCATTATTATAATAAAAATTTTTTATAGTTTCCTTACCAATCTTTCCCATCCCAAGACTATGAATCTCAACAGACATCATATTACACATATTGTCTAAAGAATAATTATTGTCTATCATAATCTTATCAAAAAGAATTTTAAAGTAGTTTCTGGTTGTTGAGGTAATATCAAAAAAAGATAATTGACTTGAGTCACTAGAAGAATCCAGAGAAGAACCAGAAGATCTTTGAGAAAAATTGGACATAGATACAGATGGGCCAGCAAATTGTTCAGATATTAATGGTATCACAGAACTCATCTCAGTTATTTGGTCCAACTGGTCATGAAAGGATTCATAATTGGTAGTGATTTCATTAATAGTTTCAATTACAGTATTTATCATTGTCAGGATTCTCTGTCCCTTGACTACAATTGTGGCATCTCATGATGTAAGATCTGCAGTTAATCTTTCTATATGTGTATCGAGTTCTGCATTAAGTTGCTATCTGATGATATATATAACAGAGCACATGATAACGAAAATCAGATAGATAGAAATTTTCTCAGTGAACATCATTATTAACACAAAGGTCAAAAATGATGCAATTTTTGAAACATTGATCAAAAACATTTATAATGGGAAAAAAAGATTATTAGTATAGATACACAAGTGCAGAGGTAACATACAAACAAATTAATTAGACTATTATGATACTGACATCTTATTTTTGAAAAAAATTACAGATATGTTGTTTTGTTTTGGGAAAATTAGCTAGAGGTTGGCAAATGCCTAATTTTTTTATTGGTTATTGTAATTTATTACTAAAAGCAATTACAAAGTGACTAGAATAACTTATTATTTTATTAGCTGTGCTCCTTTTGGAAATATTATTACAGAGAAAATAGTAGAAAAGTATACTAAAGATTTTTGAATCCTTTTTATACAAGATTAAGATTTCACGTCTTAGAATCTGATTTGTTGTCTCTGTTAGTAAAAGCCAGAACATACTGAAAAAAAAATATTAATTACATTATTATTGCATTATTATTGATTTATTATTATAAACATGGGCATAAATTCTGATTTTGAGAATAGGAACCTGGATCTAGAAACTTAAAAATACATGGTTCAGGTAATGTTGAGTAAGATAAGTGATATTTATTAGCTAAAGGGTTGCTTATGCTAAAGCTAGTATAACTGATGAATATTTACAATTACAATACTAACCATCATATTAAGATTTCACCAATATACACATATATGTGGATTTTTATACAATTAATAACCAACTTTTGAAATAATATTAGAGTAATATGCAATCTTATTTAAAATTTAACTTTCATAATACTACTCAATTTTTGGTTAAGTATCAGATATAATTTTACCATTCCAAGTATATTTAGTAGTAAAGTCATGAATAATTGATCATTGACAAATTTATCTTATTTTATTAGTAAAAGTAACAAAACTAATATATCATTCCTTATATTATAGAAACTTCGATATATAGACCAAGTACTATGTATATGCTACTGAGAATATGCTAGAAAGTTTGAGCAAAAACATGATAAGTTTGGGTATTATTTTATGGTGATTGATCGATTCATCCAAGACACACATGGCATCAGCAGTACATGTGATTTAATGGGATCATGACCTAGACTAAGATTTGCTTATATTGGATTTATACATAATATCACTCCCCTAAGATCTATAGAAGCAACTCAGAGAGTCATAGGCTTTGCTCTATAATGTGATGAGATTTGTATCAGAGATACTAGCTTCATTATGCAAAGCATGGGCAAGGCTTTATAAAGCTTGATATTTAACTTTATCTTTTACTTTATGCTTTCTAATAGAGCATTTCTTTACTGCTCTAGTCTTATGTGCATATGTAACTTCTATTTCCAAATAAGATGTAGAAGAATTACTTGAATCGCTAATAGAAGATTCTAACTCAGATACTGAAATGGTTCTGGCAACCTTAGCTTTTCCATTTTTTTTCTTCTTTTCATATGAACTAGTATGACAGTATTGATATTTGTAGAAATTAGAAATAATATGGTATGAAGTACCCTTTTCTACAGCATAAATTATAAATCTAATTATGTTCTCAATATTTTTCAGAGATGGATTGGAATTGGGTGAGCTATTTTTTGTGAAACTGTCTTTATTACTATTTTCTTTGATTAATAGGATACTCATACTATTTATTACAATTTTAGCATAGCTGTCATAGGTTTTGGGAGAATATCCAAAGCTTATTTTTGCTTTGTGCATCTATAACCAATCCAGTTCTAATACCAGATCAAACGATGGATTTTTGCGAATTTGAAAGTTTATTACTTCAGTACTATCTAAACTTTGCCACTTTCCTTTATAGTAGAATTGCAAATCTAAGCATTTTATTTCTTCACCAATTAATTTATTATCAGATAAACATTCCAACCCATAATCTTCTTCAAGCTTATCAAACAAGCTCTTGCTAATAGTATTAAACTTCGATGATGTATCAATTAATGCTTTTACTGGAATTTTTCCTTCTACAAGTGTTTCTATAAAAACTATGTCAAATATTAAATATATTTAATACTGTATATTTTTTTATTGCATATTAATAAATAATTTAACATAGACAATAACTGAAAATAATGTCAATTCTAATGTTAATGTCTCAACTATAATTAAAGAATTTGCTAAAATGAAAATTAATAGGAATAACCATGAATCTCAAAATACTAATGATACAATATCTAGTATTGTTAGCCAAGTATCAGGTAAAAAAATCTGGATCTCTCTTCACTGATTACTGAAGATAGTGAAACCCAAGATTCAACAAGAAATTATAAATATGATAGCAAACCCAAATATTTCTCAGCAACTTATTCCATGCAAAGCTAGAAAAAAACTAATTTTTAACGATACCACATCTGAATCCTTATCTTTATACAAATCTGGGTCTGACTCTGAATGATATAATGATGATAAAGATTTTACTATGAAAATAGTGAAAGCAAAGAAGTGTAATTAGTCTTTATTATAGATCTGGAATAGTTTTGCTTGCTCTGGAGATTGATTTTTTCTGCGATAATTCATTATAACATAATTCTGTACTGAAGAAGTATGATTGTCAGGGTTGTGATGTAGACATTCTTCAGCAATGGTATAAGCATGGGCCATATTCTTAGCCTCATGTACTACTACACTATAAACAGCACCTATTTTTCATAAATATTTGGGAATTAAATCATAAACTTTTAAGAATCTATTGAACTATTTAACTTCTGGCTTATCTGGATCACCTATTCGTCCAGATGATATAGTATGCTGAATCCAAGTGAGTAGTTCTTTGGCTTGTTCTTGATTCTTTTCTATCGATCTAAATTTTCTAGAAATATCTGGCTGACCTCGATTCTTTACATATCCCGTTACTCCAGTATCTGTAATGCATAAAGTTTTAAGTTTAGCAGAAGGAATACAAAGCATAATTATAATATTAGCAAGAGTCTGACAATCAGGTAAAGTTTTAATATTATATGCATTTAATCTTTCTTTGACTGATTCTAATGTAAATTTATCTGGATAATCGATACATTTAGCTTCAGCTTTTTTTTGATTGACATTCTGGATTTTGTTGGCATCTTCTGTAATATCTGGAAATTTTGTAACCTAAATTATCTTAAGTGATGCATTAAGGTTCCTTAATTCTTTACGAAGACAAGTGAGACATGATAAGTCACATTAGCATTTTTTGCTGATAGGGCTAAGGCATAAGCTTTAGCTCTTATATTCCTAATGCTAAGTTTATCTCATAAAATCCATTGCACCATATCTTCAATTGTTTCTTTTTCCATTTCTTTAGAGAGTTGATTGGCAATTACAATATTTACATTTTTATCTGAGATAGTTATACTGTGTCTACTTTTGTTTTTCAGAATTGTGAATAAGGCATTTACTTGATCTTCACTAAACCTATATCTATTTTGCAAGATTTGTTTTGCTTTCTTTCTGACAATCTCTTCTTCTAAACTTTTTGGGAGCTTGGTTATTGCTATTCTACAATTACCTTTAACCAAATTTATAGTTTTATTTTCCCTACTTCTCTGATTAGGTATCAATATATCTACCTGTTTACTGCTAAATTTCAAATCATCTCGAAGGTGTCTGCAAGCCTAATTCTGCTTCTTATCATTGGAAAGGTTTTTAAGAAATTCTGATATATATTGACTGAAATTAGATATACCTATCTTAGAGCTAAGATTGTATTTTTTAATGATTTTAGTTGTAATAGCTGACATGATCTAATGTTTATAATAGGTCGAATAGGTTATATACACTATAAAAAATATTTTTCTAAATTGAATTATATATTAAAATAAGATATTTAAATCTGGGTATTGCCTCCTAATATTTGGAAAAAATCAACTAGGTCAGATCTGTTGATTTGAAATTTACCAATATATAGATTATAATGAAAAAAATTTTATAGCTTTGGGGGTAGGAGCCCAGGTTATATAATATATCAGTTTATTATTATATTTATTTTTAGTATATTACTCGAGCTAGAATTAATATATACTCTGGCTCTAATATGTTTGCCTTGGTGAATGCATCATATAAGGCATTTAGTTTATGTTTTGAAAGACTAAATTTTGGGTAATAAAGAAATCTTGCAAGTATATCATTTCTTTATTTCTGAGTTTCTATATTATTCTAGTTTATTTTTAATAACTTTTATATAGCATAATCATTATATACTTTGAGTAATACTTGTAATAAACTTGTTTTTCTATCAATTAATGAAAGTAAACTTTTTTCTGGGTTGTATTCAATATTTCAAATATGATTAGATATAAACATGAACCATTTTCCCAATACTAATTTTTTATAAATTGGAGGGACTAAAATGTTTTCCTCTTTCTAATATATATATCCATTGTGTATCAAGATATTATATGCTGGTCTATCGATTGCAATCATATGATTAGTTTTGAGATTATATATTTTTGGCTTTACTGAATGTCTAAGCAATTTGAATAACTCATCTGAGGTAATTATTTTTTTGCTATATTCTGGCTCTTTAGTGTATAATTTATACATTTTTAGTATGGTATATGTAGTATCAGTATGTAAAGTTATTTTATCTCATTATAAATTCAAAATATTTAAATTGGTATTTATATTTGAATATATATATATATTATATATTTCATCTTAGAATACTTTCATAGATCATGCTATCTGCCCTCACATTAAAAGAGATAGATTCATTTGCAGAAATAAATGCTGGTAACCTATGGGTTGTTACAGACATTGGAGTTTGCATGAGAAAAATATAAAGAAATTTCTTTGTGGTATTTGTGAAAAACCTACTATATCTATTACAAAGTATTGTCCAAAACATTCTGGTCGATTTCATTCATTAAATTATCAGATGAGACAAAAAGGACTTATTACCCAAGATAATGTAGAACATTGAAGCTTTGCTTCTTCTGAGTAGGCTCTAAAAACCATGATTCGAAGAAATGCCTATGGCTTGTTTTACAATAGATAAAATTTTTAGTATATTTTATTTTTGGTAACACAAAAACTAGTATATATAAACATATATAATACAGAGTTTTGCATAATATATTTATCTGAAAAATTTTATATTGGCTAGATTGTAGGAGCAAAAAATCCCCTTATATTAAAGCTCTTACCTGCAAAATTTACCTTATTCACTTCTCTTATAAAGTAAGGATGCTTTGCATCTATTTTATATACATATAAACTTGCCATAGCATACCATTTGCCTGGAGTATGCTTATTGTTTTTTTCCATTCCTTATCAGTATCTAGCCATAATAAGGTGATTTTATTTTCTTCAAGAGAATGATGGATTATTTCTTCACTTATTAATCTTTTTTGCATTGTCATATCCATATATTCACTAGGATTTTTTTCAGTCTTCTTTGCATAACTACACATTCTCGTGTCAGTCTGCATTCTATCACGGAATGCTATAGAATTGAGCTTATTTTTTTCAGTAATGATAATGAATTTGTTAGGATCTTCACCAAGCTCAATAGCTTTTTGACGGAGGTGAGTCTCTCTTTTTTCTTGAGGTATATATTCAAGTAGGTATGTTTTCAATTGGGTATTGAATTCTTCATTGCTGTTTTTTAGTTTATTGTTTGCAAGTAAGTCAAGAGAAATCTTGGGTTCAACTTTATTATTCACTAGTTTAATGATTTCAGAAACTAGTTTGGATTTATCATCTACAGATTTTGTATATATGATCTCAGGAGGCAGAGATATATCAGTAGATACTAATGACAAAGCAACTGAACTTTCATTTGTTATAGAATCGAAGAGATCCTGGGTCATGTTAGTAATAGATGAAGCAGGTGATACATTCTTACCTTTTTTGATATAATCAGTAGTCGATAACCTGATTATATTTTTTGCTGATTGAGGATTTACAATTTCAGGTATGTTAAATATAAGAATATTTGTGGATGTGTTGAAGGATGTCTCAGCTTGAGGTGTGTCAGAAAATTCTTTGATATCACCAATTGATTCACATAACTTAGCTACAATTTTAGAACAATCGAGGATATACTGCCATTTAGAGCTATTACCTGGGTCAGCTAACCTGTATAAGTCACCTGACCTGATAGGTCACTGGTCAAAAATTGCTTTGACCTGGGTCAAAAAGTCAGAATTCAAAACAGGCAAAAATGCAATTTACTTATGAATAATAGCTGCTCGATATAAGTATTAGCTTTTGTCTTAAATCATGTGTGATCATATGTTCGACTGATTGATATAAGTATGAGGTAATCAGGTAATTAATAATACAATTATTAATGAGAGAGGTAATTGATTAATTGATTATTTATGAAATACCTATATATGTTCTTCATAGTAATCCAAAACAAATCGATATAAAAACAGATACATGCATATGCAATGTTATTACTAAAATACATTGAACATTTTTATTTGGATATCAATGTTATCCCGGAAATGCTATCACAATTTATTTAATGATAAGTATTTAAATATTCTTTTAAAAAATAATATGTGTGCTCACAATGTTCAGGCATTCACAATGTTCAAGTGCACACAATGTTTAGGTGCTCATAATATTTAAGTTAATAATTATATACATAATTCTAATGCTGATTTAAATCTTCAAGTAGTTTTTTGTATCTGTGCATCATACAGTAAGTTTTTTCTCATTCTTAATGCAAAAAAATTTAATGATATATTTAAATGTATTTCATCATTTTTTTTTTTATGTTATACAATGTTTAATGATTTATCTAACTCATAAGTGCTTCATAATTTGATTTCTTAATGCCTGTTCACTACTTGACTTAACTCTGGAACTATCTGCATAATTTAATAACTGTTTTATATTACTATATTTAATTATTCCAAAGTATTAAATATCAAACTTTTATTACCTAGTTAAATACATGTAAAACAGGCCAAAGCTTTAAAGCCGATTTGAGAAAGAGAATTGATTCAACAAATTAAAGATTAAGGCTTGTTCGTTTTTCAGTAATAGTAAGACCTGCAGATGAAAAAAGACATTCAGATAGTACTAATATGGCTAGAATGGAGAAATACTTGTGAGCAAGTTTTGCAAATATAGGATAATCGGATTTTTTTGATGCCTGTCATTGAAGTATATTTGTTTCACTTGGAACTCTTGGTAGTAATAAATATGAATTAAATTTATAGTTAGTAATATTATTATCATTTTGATCTGAATATTTTTGAAAACTGTCAACCAGGTTAGAAAAAATATCTTCATCATTAATTATATCACTAAATGCTGTATTAGATAATTTATCTAGCTCATAATAATTAGCGACTAATTCAAAGTATTCAGTATGTGCTTTTGAAATAGTTTGATTCTTTTATTCTTTGTAAATATTTGCATATTCTTGGTTTGCAGATCAAAAAAAGTGGCAAGTTGAATAGGTTTTGTTGGTTCTAAAAATTGTTTCTAAATTGATTCATAAAGAAGACTTCCAAATTTTCAAATATCAACATTATTTATCATTGTATAGTTGAGCTTTATTTTAATAAAATTAATTGCAAACCATGCTTAAGAAAGTGTTGGATACTGTGAACCAAATAATTTTTTTGAAACAACCTCATAAGGATACAATAATTTAACTAACTCAGTTACTTTTTCCTATTCATCAGATGATAGTTCTTTTTCTTCATAGCTTCTTAGTAAACTATTGTCATTAACTTCAACTAAAAATGACTTATATCTATATATTGCAGGTTTAAGAATTGTTAATCGTTTTAATAAATAATATGTCAAATTCCACCTTGTCAAAACATCATGAACTACAAAAAGAAAATTATTCCAGTCATTCATCTCTATTTGCACTTTTAAAAGAAATTGTTTTTGCTTTGGGCTTCTGCTAAAATGGAATACAACATCTTTATATCTTTTTATTAAGTTAGTAATTTCTAAACACTCTTTTAATACATCATTAATTGCAAGTTGTAATGTATGACCAAAACAATGAATTTTAAAAATGCCATATTTTTTTTCTAATTTTTCTAAGCACAACATAATATTCGACTCATTATTAACGGTATCACTAACAGTTATATGCTTAAACTTAAAACTATCTAAAATTTCAATGATTTTATTTAAAAGACATTTGGAGATATAGGGATATAGGAAATACGAAATATTACCAATAATTTCTTTTACATTAAAATTTTCATTAATCTAATAAAAAGTAAGTCTAATATATGGATCGCTATTATTTGATATTTATATATCAGTAGTAAATAAAATATAACTAATTTCAATACTATCAAGTGCATATTCATGAAGACTTCATAACATTTTATCTTCAGAATTTATAAGTATATCTTTTAACTGATCATACTGGCTTGAATATCAAGTTCTTCAATTATTCTTTTAAATGCCTGTGATTGAGTAATTGAAAATAGTTGAAGTTCTTCGACAATAAAAGCAGCTATATTATTGTTAAGATTTTTTTATTTGGGATTATTTGCTGCATATTTTTTTATTTTACTATATGTTTGTATTACTGTTAATTATGAAGATTCTGGCATTACAAAAAATTTACACTTATTGTTATCCTTTACCACAACTTTTACTCGACCACTTTCTATCATATCTTGTGAAATATGATGCTTATTTCTCAAATATTATTATAGATTCAAAGTGGATCCATTCTTTAAATATTTTATCTGTGGAATATAAGATCTATGACAACAAACCCAAAACTCGGAATTATTAATTGATGTTATTTCATAAAATGGTTTAACAGGACTACCACTTGACCTTTTATTTTTTTTCTATTTTTTAGCCAAAATTTGATGACCAGTTTGTGATAATGTGGAGAACTGAAGTAAATCTTCATTATCTTCATTAACATCCATATTATTAGATTTCAACTTATCTAAATCAATATCAACAGGCTCTAACACATAATCAGGCTCTAACATATAATTAGACTCTAACATATAATCAGGCTTTAACGCATAATCAGGCTCAGGCTCTAATGCATTATCAGGCTCAAACACATTCTCAGGTTCTAACTCCATATTGTTTGAATATTTCTTGTTCATTATTTATTTACTTGGTAAGTTAGATCACAACTTTAATGAATCTATAAAATAAAATAAGATTGTTAATTACTTTTTCACAATAAAACCAAATTTTTTTTTTATTAAAGTACTTATATCATGTAATTTTATTTGCTTTATGTTAATGATAGGTTCAAATAGTTGTGGTTTTTTTTGTTAGGTTTGTAGAATTTAACCTGTAGTCTATAACAGCTTTTTATAATGATAATAGTACAGATGTTGTAGCATTACAAGTGATCTAGAAATATTTAATGCCAAAAGTTGGGTGTTAGAAACCTTAAAATGCTTATCAATTCGATCTCTATATATATACTTACAGTGCAGAAATCTAAAGCTATTACTCTTCTCCTGCACCAATTTTGTAAAAGTGATGCAATAATTTAAAAATTCTCATAAAATTATCAGCCCTAGCTGATATTAGATAATGCATCATTGCTTTATGCTTATCTAATTCAATCCCAATTCACAAATAACAAATTTGCTTTAACTAATATGTGAATGTGCTTTAAAAATTTTTAGTATCATATAAAGGTGTCTACTTAAAACTAAAAAAAAAAGACATATATCAATAAATATAGTAGAGATTGCAATTTAAGTTTAAATTATCCCTTACTGTTAGAGACCCAGAAATTTTGGATTTTATTCATGCAAACTCCCAAATTCTACAGGTAAAATCAAAGACACCCACTTAAAGTTGATAAAAAAAAGACTTACATGCCAATAAATATATTCCTTAAAATGCACCAATGCTTATTTAATTTAGTCCCAATTCGTAAATAACAACTTTGCTTTAACTATTGTGTGAATGTGCTTTGAAAATTTTTAGTATCATACAAAGGTGCCCACTTAAAACTGATAAAAAAAGACTTACATACTGATAAATATAGTAGAGATTGTGATTTAAATTATTTCTTAAATCACTTTACTGTTAGAAACCCAGAAAACTTTGGATTTTATTCATGCAAATTCCAAATTTTACAGATAAAATCCAAATTTTTATGAATCCCTAACTACAAACGATATGCTTCTTGGCATATTATTTCTGTTTAAAGAGATTTTATTGTTTTCAGAGTTGTTATATCAACTTCATACAAAGATTACACAACTTAAATTTTAAAAACCTGATGATTTTCTGTATGACCCATTTGACCCAAGTCATGATCCAGATAAATATCTAACCTGCCTAAGTTACTATTTTCTGACCCAGGTAATAGCTCTACTGCCATTCTCTTTTTCTACTACTAGCATATTTTCGTTCAATGTTAACCTGTAGGATTTTTTTTCCAAAATTATTATTACTAAATAGCTTTTCATCATTAGCTTCACACCATGTATGATACTTCTAATATAACATAGCACAACCTGGTTTTTCAATTTGATCTTCCAACTATACTGAAATATGATCAATTATGAATTAGATAGGATTTGGGAGATGCTCATGCATTGTCTCTGTTTTCATTTTAGTGATAGGAATATTTTCTTCTGAATTTCAATTTGAAAGGTCTTGATTAAGTAAATAGTTCATAAAAGATCCAGGTGTATTAGGATGGTTGAGAATTTTTCTCAACTGACCAAAATATTTAAAATTATCTTTACATCAAGATGAAACATCTAAACATACAATACGACCATCTTCTTGCTCAACATGAATTGGGGCATCATGATTACTTAATACTATAAATCCAGAAAATGACCACATTCTTGATTTTCGAGACCTTTATGCTCAATTGAGACATAATCTTTTGTAATTAGAGATTTTAAGTGATTATTTGACTTATGCCATTCTCCACTTAACATTCCTGCTTTATTCATAATTATAAGTTTACATTCTTGAATACTACTGTTAAATTTTCCTAAAATTTTCCCTAAATCAGACATTGAATATACAAGCTCTGGACCAAATAAACTTTTTGGAATAAAATTAGTAATAATATTTTTTCTACATCATGGTGGTGAATGCAAAACAAGAATTGTACCTGAAATTATTGCTAAATACTGAACTAAAAATGCTAATCATTTGAGAACATATGTAAAAAGAACTTTACTTTCATCATACCAGATATTTTCTATATGCTATATAATCGGGTTCACAAGATCGTAATTAATTGAAGTTACTGGTTTAGCCTTGAATTCTAAGAAAAGATTAAAGAATTCATTTTTTGGTTGTTCGATATTAGATGAATATGGTAAGAAATCGATATTATCATAAATAATCACCTTGCTGTCATATATATGATCTATTAAAGAGAACAATTTTATTGGTTCTTCTCCAAGTTCTACTATATTAATAGTTATTTTACTGAAATCTAAAGTAGGTGCCATACCAAAATATAATTTATCATCTGGTTTTCTGTAATTAAGAATTCATGTTCGTTTATCTTTTACCATACAAGCAAGTGTAGCCTGGATTGCATTATATACTTCATTCTGAGTAAAATTTTTCTTAGAAGTGCACATTCGAATTAAATCATTCCATACAAAATTGTTATTTGAATCTGAGATTCTGGGTCACTTTATTTTTTCTGGAGGTAGAAGACTGTTTTTTTGTTCCAAGATTGATATTTTTAAAGTAAGTTTTAATGATAGTTTCTTTATACCTGTTGCCATATCTTGATCTGCTTAATAGCAGTAATAATAATAAGTTTTCTTTTTTAGATTACATATGTATTATCACTAGTGTGCTCCTGATTACAGAGTAAACATTGAGATTATGCTATACAATTTAGGGTGAATACATTTGGGAGTGTCAGTGAAGAATATAAAACTTCAAAACCTTTGATTTTATACTCCTCAAGTAATTTTTCTATATATTCTACTTCAGATCCGATTCTCCTAGCATCGATTTTATTTTTTCTGATGCTTTCCTTTCTTTGATTGATGTTTTTTCTTTTAAAATATTCAAGATGGGACTATCTATAATTAGCACCTCATTATTAGGTAGGCAAAGCATAAAATCAAAGACAGAACTATCTTTTGAGAAAATTGCTTTCTTCACTTAGACATATTCATTAGTATCTTTAATAAATTTTGGAGTTCTGAGTATTTGCAAAGAGAATGAACATTTATTTGCAATATTATCAACAATATCTTTTTCTTGTAAATCTATTGGAAGCTTTTTGTGAACAAGCTTAGTAAATACTGCAACTTTAGCAATATTTTTGAGTCAGAGACCAAAAGTTGATATATAGAGAAACATTTTTTTCTTGTTACTACTACTGGCAATAGTTAATGTTTTGCAATTCCAATCTGGATATATTTTTAGGCACAATTCTTTAAAGGCATGATAAAGTAAATCCCAAATTTCTTTAGCTGTAAGCTTAAGCTTGGGTTTAATTTTATCAAATTTTTCTTTAGATAAATTAAAATCTATAAAGAGCTGAAGTGGGTCATCACCATCAATAAATTCGTGTAATGAATATCCTTGCTGTTTACTAAATATAGCTTCTATTCCATCTTCAGTATCTGTACTGAGAAATTGTCTTGGCTTTACACTATCATCACAAATTTTATACATATATTTAGCCACATTCTTAGCTTTGCCCCCTGGTAGTAGAAGGCTCTGTTATTTTTTTCTACTATTTCTGGACTCTCTGATTAAGAAGGTGGTGTTTCTGACTCTGCTGATATGTGATCGATGTTTTCTATTATGAAACAGCTCTTAAAAATGTCTTTACAGACATGAGCTTCATTCTGAAAATATTGAGTACTCATAGTAAATATATTTTTACTGCTAGTATATTATTCTGAAAAAAAAAGTTCAAAATGAAAATTAATTCTAAAGAATAGTTATCAGTAGATAATAATTATTATATCAGAAATTATATAAATATTGCATTTTATTATTGCTTCTATATTCTTAGGACTAGAAAAGTTTGCAATCGAGGTTGCTATAGACCTGAAGGGTATAAAGTTCACTGGGATTCTCTACCATGCATACCTTGTAAAGAATGTGGTAAGTTGATCTATTCTGGTTATAACTATTGTAATACTTATGCAGATAAATATCGAAGATGGAATCAGTATCAGCAAAAGAAGCTGAAGAAGATGGCACAAGATGGGAAATCAGAGATTCGATGCTCTGCATCATCTGGGATAAAGAAAAATTAATATATACATGTGTGGTATGCAGGATACCTATATTTTTCGAAGTTCCAACTAGGACAAATTTTTTTCTAGAACATAAAGTAGGATGGAAAAAAATATATCTGTTAGTAATTTCAAGCTGAACGAAAGAGTTTTAGAATACTCGTTCTAGTTGTCCTAGTTGTCCTAGTAAAATTTCAATCTTCTTACTTTTTTTTTCTTTTTTTATCTACAGGTATACATAGTATATATTATATATATATAGCATGTATATATTATATATATATAACTGTATATATCATTATGTATAGTATAAATGTATCATGAATAGATAAATTTTATTTTTCCTAAATTATTACTTTTTACTAAGACAACTAGGACAGAATATAAAAAGTATAAAAGAATAAGATAAATCAAAGAAAAACCTTTTTTTTCTATACTGAATCTGTTCTAACAACTTTTTTTTTACTAGGACGAAACTAGGATGAGTTTTTTATTAGGATGCAAGCAGATCTATTTAACCACATTCTGGAATATTAATTATAAGATATAACTTAATGGGTCAAGGTAAGTAAACATATATCTCACTACTAGAGCCAACTAGGGACAAAGTAAATGATATCAAATATGATAGCATGTATATAGTATAATCAGATAACATGTACTGATAGCATACTTGATAGCAATTACATGACATAGGTTGCATACATATTTGATAGCATGTATATAGCATGTCCTGATAGCAACTACATGATCACTTTTTTTTGCCTCCTCTGACCTTATTTAGTATACAATAAATGCTATTGAGTTCGGTCTCCTAAAAAGAACACAAAATAGCTGGCCTTAGAAAAAAGACACATGATAATGAATTTATAAACTAATCGTTACTTGAGCATAACCTAAATCGGGGAATACTACTCAAATAATGACATGAACTCAAATTCGTCATCACTTGAATGACGATACAAGCATGAATCATTTGTCACTCAAATGATAGAGCGAATACTAATATATCCCTATTACTTGAGTATTTAATTCAAATTCTACCAAGCTACTATTCCAAATAGTTCAGAAAGGTAAACTGTAATCATATCTCTGGTTTATATATTTGCCAATATGTACTTTTTTGCTTTAAAATTTAGAAATTTCAATAGCCTAGTTGGTTTATTTGATTTCTCCTTAAAGACTGACATATTTGCTCAGTTTTACAAGTTCTAGTTCTATTTCATAGGTTTAGTTTTTATAGTAGCATTGTTGAAAGTTTGAGTTACCTTTCTACTTGGGTTTAACATAATATATATATATATATTTTTTTTAAGTTAAAGTCCCTATCTTGGAAGTTGCGATGTTTTTATTCAAGTATATTAGAACATGGCATGCCACCAAGGGCTCATCTTACATTGGAGGTTACAACTAGCCATATGTGCACTTTTGGTGTCTAATTTAAGTAGTCCACTTACACATTACTATATAAGTTCTATACTAGTTGTTATACCTGCAAGCCAACTAGAAGTCTTGCTTATTTAAACCTTCTGCATATGCAGTCCTTTTTGTATCACAGGAACATCTCAAGGCATCATCCATCCAAGTTCCTAATGCTTATTAGTATTCTTAAGACTACTTTATCCTTGATAAAAGACTTACTAAAGCCTGTATGTCCTACATATATAGACCTAGTTTTATGCAATATGCTATAGTTACCTAACACTTGCAGTCATAGGGGTTACCTATTTAACTGCTACATTACACTATTTCTATCCTTGTAAAGTTTACTAGAACCCTAGTACCCATCTTTTCAGCATCTTTTTCATTATTCCTTACTAGCCACAACTTAGAACTGTCAGTCTCATTTCAGACTACCAATCCAGATAGCCTGGTATAGTATATTTCTGTATCCTTTTCCTTTGGTGAACCTGGCAGCCTAGTTGGTTA